TCAGGCTATGGCCTCTTAACTTCCTTCTCCAATCACGCAGGAGCAAGAATGAAAAAAAGACCCACTGCTACCCACTGCTCTCTGATCCTCTCTGCTGGGTTAGTTTGTTTATTTTGGAAAAGCACTAGTGCAGTAAGGATTGCTGACAAATCAAAAAGATGCTTTAAAAGATTAAGGTGAAGAGACTGTAGCTGAAATAAAGATTTCAGAATATATGCTTATTGGAAGTTAAGTATTTTGACCACATGATACTTGGAGTACTGCCTGATCTCTCGGTATTAATAGCCCTTGCTATCTTCAAAAAATAAACTAATACCTTCTCATCTCAAGGTCAGTGGAAAACAGGAATAACAAGACATTGTTTTGATGAACACGCGAATTTGTGATTTTTTAAATGAATAGGTAACTCATGTCATCTTTTAAAGTTGACAGCTTGATACTCATCAGAACTCTCCCTCATCATTCATGGTAAATAAGCAGAATGACACGTCAAATGTAACAATCCAGAGCCATAAAACTTTTCATCAGAAGTCTCTTCAACACACCACACAACCATTACATCTAGATGTGCTGCCAAATGTCAAAGGAGGAAAGCAAGAAAGTAATTTTGCCTTTTTACACATAGTTAATCTAAATCTCTAAATTGGAAGTTGCCATGAAAATTACTCTGAGTGTATCTAATTGAAAACATTTTTAATTTCAACTCTTAAAAAAAAAAAAAAAAAGCCACAGCTGCAACAAAGTATGGCAATATTAATGAAAGCATATCTGGCACCCATTCAAATCTCTGCCTTCCTCAGTGCTGTGAAAAGAAAAATCACTCCCCAATGGAAATTCACCATTTTCACAGAAGTAAAATTACTCTTCTCTGTAAAAATGAGCTTTCATCATTTGCATTAAATGTAATTAAATAATGTAATTAAATTGTCGCAGTAACTAGTGTATCTCTGCATGCTATTTGGCTCCAGGAATGCTCAGTACATATTTGCAATCCAGATTGAAAAGAACTGTATTCACAGCAGAATTCTGCAATGTCAAATAAGGCTAAAATGTTTGGTTTATGTTTTAAACAAACTTCACAAAATAAGAGGTGTAGAGATACATGAAAACAAGCAAACAGATGTAATTGTGACATATTATAGAATGGGAAGTAAAATATTTCAAAATCTTTAAACAAACAGGTAGCAGTATGTCCTTACAAAGGGCACCGAATCAAAAATAAATCACAACACATAAAGACAAAACAATTTGTAAGTGATCTCTCTTACAAAGAGGGATAAAATTTCTTCCAGTGAAAAAATGCCTTTGCTAACTTTTATACAGAATTTAAACTTAATAGCAATACAAAATGTTGTTATTCTTATTTTGCTCTATATAATGATGAAATAGCGATTAAGACGTGTATGGTACTGCAAGAGAGAGAGGCCTTAATTATAACAGTAATAACTAGAGCCAAACATCATGGAAGTCAATGGAAGGACACCTATTGCTTGAAATGGCAGGCAGGTCATTTAGAGCCCATCCTACGAGTGTACCTACCTGCTCTGCAGATGCTGACAGGCAAGCACTGTGTTACCACTGGTAGTACTCCAGCTCAAACTAACTCCTTATAGAGTGGAGTGCCAAGGATGTTTTATCTTGAGTTGGTCTCTTCAACTTTAATTCTTGTCAGTTTCCACAGATATCTTTTATTAATTAATCAGGCATTATGCCAACAACCAAAGGATTTAAAAAAGATACACTCCGTGTGAGTCATTTGCAAGCTACAGTATCTGAAAAATTCTACCTGTAGGTGAAATATGGGCAGGCACTGAGAAGAAAATTTCTGTCTGGAGAATTGTGCATGGTGCATTCTGCAGTCACTTCCTCACTGGAAGGGCACCCATCTCCTTAAAGTCTCACATCACGCAGAAGAATTGCTAGTAACACTTGGAAGGAAACAGAAACACCCTTTTATCCTACCCATGTGTCACTTCTGTGCCTTGAGGTTATTTAAGAAGAAATTATAGTGATTCTGGCAACACTCCTCCTTATTGTGTGGAGACATACTTTCAGGAGAGTCATTTTGCTAGTTATTAGACTAATAAAAAAGAAACTCAAAAAAGCCCTGCACCTATTCAGTTTCATCCTGAATTAAACTTGTCCCACCATCTTCAATCCTGAGCATGTGTAGGAAAGCCACATCTGTACATGCAGTGTAAGGAAGCCACATCCCCTTAGTGAACTGCCCCAACCAAGCTCACTCACAGTCCTTAATTAACACCCCTCCATCCTATTGCATCTCAGATCTATTTGAGTTTCTCTTCTTCAAGCTAGTTGAAGCAAAAAAACATGTAGCCAGGGGACTAGCAGCAGTCACCCTGCAGGGATTCAAAAGGGCTCCTTTATACATATAAATTTACAATTAGCTTAACTAGCTAAATATGCTGTTCCGGTATATCTGCCCACAAGTAGCTCACCAGGCTGATGTTCTATTCCAGAACAAAATTTACTGACTTTTTACTTAACACTCTGATAATTTTTCTGCAATTTAGTGAGTTTTTATTCCAGAGCAGAGTTGTCCATCAGGGAACCATTGCAGCACAGATAACTGCATCAGAATAAGCTGTGGCAGTGTATGAAAGAGAATTTCCCAGCACAGAAAGCCCAGCATCTCAGAATTGCTGAGATGTTATCTCTGACCTACTTTGCTCAAAGTACCATAGTGATATCTCCACACAGGCATCCAATTATTTGTTGAAATCAACAAGTACTTTTGTGCTACATAGAATTAGTACAAGCTAAAAAAAAAAAGAGAGTAGAGCAGGATGATAGGTGGAAAGAAGTGTTCTTTCTGTAGCATTCGCAGCACAGGAATTGATTTCACAAACATGCTCATCCAAGCAATGTAGTTCATTCAGCAGATCATCAACTCCCATCAAAGAGTTGATTCTTAACTTAAAATCAGCATGCCCGTAACAGCAACAAATGAACGGAAAAGAGCAGAATAGTTCTTTAGAAACGGCCCAGCTGTCTCGTGCATCCGACACTGCCACATACAAATGTTGTCATTGAAGGGGAAAAAAATGCCAGCCCTGAAGCTGAACACCATAGTTAGAAATGGTCACCAAAACCTAACTACGTACCATGCAAACGGGGTAACTTGAGACACTAAGCACATTCCCAGAGAAGACCACACCGAAAAAGGACACTTCTGGAGTTACCATAATATTTTCAAAAGCAACATGCCTAACAAAGGATTTTACAAGGCAATAAAACACTCCACTAGGTAATTAAATTCTCCTAAGCCGGCTTTTGCTAGCTGTGTGCTTTATTACAAGGAGAGCTATCCCAAGGGATTAACTAACTTTGTGTTGAATATGAGAAACATTACTATATTTTTCTGGTCTCCCGAAACCTTGTAAAATATTGCAAGGGTTTGAGAGACAAATTTAGAACAAGCTGATTTAAGAAGAATACATTTCCAAGTATTCCAGTAAACGGTGTGGTATAATATTACAGGAAGGGTCACTTTTACCTCAAGAGCACAGTAAATCTCACTTACAGTTAGGAAGTCCACTCTGGTGCAAATTGGTGCAAAATTTAGCTCAGTTAGTGCAGTTCTGAAATTTGCTACCATTTAAGGGATGACAATGTCTCTTTCTCTGATTTGTGAAAATTAAAACCTCGTTCAACTGACAATACAGGAGGTTTAGTAAACCACAGCACCTCTACGCCATAAGATACTACTTAGAGCATCTCTGTACCTTTGATAAACTATTGAGTGAAAGAGGAAAGAGGGAAAATTTCTGATTTGTCTGATTAAAAAATAAACTAATTAGAATTTTGTGCTAAATTAAATTCTTAGGTTGGACTGGAAAGAAATTTTGTTTAATCTTAAAAAATTACTTCCCAGACCCTGAGAAACAGTAAAGAGAAGGCAATATCACTAATGCTTTTAATATTTATTAGAAAAACAAAATTAAAATAATACTTTTAGTAAAAAATAATTCTCCTTCTGAAATCACGGTATCCTATTTACTTGCAGAAACAAGATAAAAAAGGCCTGTTATTACAAAAACCTCAACATTTAAAAAGTACAATTTCCAGGTTCTAACAACCAACTCTGCAGCTGTAACCAACCAAAAATTTCCATCAGTTGCTAAGTGGGGGGAAAAGACTCTGAAACCTCAACTTCTCAAAGCATGATTAGCTAGCCCACTGAATACCTACCTTCTCCAATGTTGAAAGATGTGACCGCGAACTGAAAATGAAACAACAGGGCAGACAAAAAGTACAGCACATGCAGTATATTGATAGAGATCCTGAGGAAAAGTATGCACATACCTTGTCAGGGGGCCAAAAAGCATGGGCCATATGAGCACAGAACTAAATAATGCCTGGCTTCCTTAGGATTTATTTCTGATTATTAAAGCCTTTGAAGTCTAACAATACTGGCATTATAATTTTTTCCCCTATGGGTGTGATACTGGAAATTTCTCTGTCCCTACTGGATTCTGTAATCTTTAATAAGAAAATGGAGACATCGTTCAAGCTTGAAATGTTCTTCTGTACCTACTCACCTATTTTAATGGGCCTTGCAGAAATACGGCATCTTTCACATTATTATACTCACTCTTAGCTGAAATGAGTTAACAGACTTCAAATTTGTCATTAACACTGTCAGGCTTAAGCAAAGATATGTAGAGAGGAATACACAGAGTGGAACACATTAGCTTTGCTTCAATAGGAACCAAAGCTGAAAACATTTAAAGAGTCATGGCACAAGGGACAACCCACTCTCCCTTCCCCACAGCACTGAAAGGGCAGCTAGTTACCTTGCTCCTTCCTGTTATGCTAGAATTGCAAGTTCTATTGTTTTTATCCCTGAACACAAGTGAAGGATATCAATTATTTACTAAAATATGCAAAACAAGAACCTTTGCTCTCATTAGCTTAAAATCAGCAGGGAGAGCTGTGACTCGCAGTAAATGCACAAGCTACAGATGACATTCTTATACCCTGGTATATGGTGCTGCTGTTGCTGTTAAGATACGACTCAACCAACGGCGCCTGTTCCTCCGAATGTTTCGTCCTGCGTGTCCTCGTCCGACTGTCCACATTGGACTGGACCATTAGTGGCTCCTGGCGCTTTTTTTTCTGCTTCTGCTCTAGCAGTGCCCGCTGGAGAAAACACAAAGAAAAGCATCTGTTACTGGACTCCAAACGGTAGCAACCTACAACGAAAAACGATGGATACCTTTACACCTTCTCCGATTTTACAGTGGCAGCAGTTGGTGAGTGGGATATTTGGTAACAGGAAATCTTTCCAAAAAGCCACGACTAACCCACTGCTAAAACATCTTCTGCTGAAAACAGCAAATAATTAGAATAGATCTTTCTGAGCAGTCTACCAGCTGTTAGATCTTGCTTGGAAAAAACCCTTGGGAAAACAACAGTGTGAGAATACTGGCTGTGAAGCAATGGGAGGGTGAGCAAGAGCATAAGGCAGAGATGCCAATTTCAGTTTCTGTAAATTAAAAGCAGGTAATTGCAAACTAGAATCAAGTGATAATACTGGACATGAGCCTAATTTAACAGCTATAAAAGAAGAACTTTAATTAAACACCTAAATTTCTCAGCTAGACCTGCTGAAAACCAAAACCTCCAGCATCCAGTGGCACCATAGGCAGCTCTCTTTGAGCCCTCCTCCACAGTCTTAGATAACTGAACTGGTAATTTCACTTATCCATTACCTTACCATTTGCTTGCTCCTGCACAGTGATAGTTTAGCTTCTAGAAAGGAGATGCACTAAAACTGAAGAATAAGAACGGGGAGGGGACTCTTTCAGCTTCATGAGTTATGTTGAACACCTCAACATGACCCCAAGGTAATCAGAATCGAGTACAGGATTATGGCATAAATAGAAGGTATTTGAATTGGAAAATGAGATGCTAGTAGACATGCAAGCTGATAAAACAATGGGAAAAGAAATGTATAGCAAAGGATAAAATTAAACTCATGAGATTTAACTATAAATATGACAAAGTTTTTTGAGAAGGGGACGACAAGAAAATCAAAGTAATCACAGAAACCTCAACTCCCTTTAAACCTTGATGGCAGAATTCCCTCAGATTTCATGGAAGAGGTTCTGACTCTCTTTCTTGTCCGTGACATGTAGTAATACAGTAACAAAACAGGCAACATAGTGCATAGTGCCACTAGGTTACAGCCACAAGGGCTAAATTGACAGAATGAAAAGCAAAGTACATAAAAACTTTGTGGTTAACCTCTGTTGGCTGGCATGGCTGCCAGAACCTTCTGTCCTTTCTGGTCCCTCAGTGGGGTAACAAATAAATGGTAAGTCAGCTTAAATGAGTCCAAGGCAGTGGAAATAAGAGTCACTCAAACCACAGTCATAAGTCAAATTTTGAGGGCAATTAGACTTCCAAATAAACTGTAACCTCCACAGATCTCTCTGTTGCATTTCCCCACTCAGAGGATGCAACTTCCTATTAATTACCAAATACATGTGTCAGTGATTTCATTACTCCAAGATCTATACTTCAAAGAGCAAGAAGGTCCTCCTCCAAAATCTTACCTGCCTGTCAAGCTTCTGCTGACGCAGGCTGCTTCCCTCATCATCCAGAACACTGCAAAGACAAAGGGCACGTAATTGGAACAAATTTATCACTCAAAACAACACTTAACAGCAGTCACAGGAGCAAATCCTTCCAGGAGTTATCCATACAAAACTCCCACTATGTTCCATGGAAGTTTGCCTGCCCTAACCTGCAAAAGTTGGCTCCAGAGGATCTAAATGCAGTCCATGAAAAATTGAAAAAATGTGACTCACACAAACTTCAATAAAAATATATATTCAGGCAGTTCAAAAAGAAAGAAAAAAATCCACAATCTATAGTTTGTATTCTTCTCCACTGCCTTCTGATGTAAAACATCAATTTACACAGCAATGGGGTTTGATTGAAAATTTGCATATAAAGCACAGAAAAAATGAGAAGTGTAAGAGAGCTGCTTCGCAATTCAGCAATATTTAAAATTACATTTGGAAAATTAACTGTCTAATCTTTTTCACACTGAAAACCATAATTTATTCCTGAATAGCTGAAAAGTCACACTTATTGCCACACACTTCAGCATTCAGAGGCTAGCAAGATAAACAGCATTGCTTACTGCCATATTTCTTTCTGCTAATTGTCGCTAGTTGGGATATTAGCTCCTGTGCATTCAATCATTTTCATTAATTAGATGTTAAAGACTGGCATTGAAATCAGAAAGCTATTTTTGTGAAGTATTTTATCAAACCACTGACTACGCTTTATTCTTCAGGAGAACAAAGGTCTCTATTGTAAGAACACTCTGGTTAAACATTGAACATAGATAATTAAATCTTTTAAACAGTAATATGTCATCTACAAGGAAAATAGTGCTATAGAACAAAAACAATAGCCTCTCACAAGTAGAGTTCAATTTCTCTTACAATACATTTTTATAAAAGGTTGGTCCCTTCTCTTATAATCCCTCTTAGCAATCAAAAAGAAAATTAAAATCCAGGAGAAACAAACCTGGATTCTGACCTACATGCAACCCAAATGTATTGCAATGAAAATCTCATAAAAAATGTGAATCCCATGTATTAACATACACTCTTTAGGAGCCAGTAACATTATAGTGGAGTTGGATGGGACAGCTAATAAAGGCATGCAGAATACCACCTTTTCAATGTCAGCATTATCAGAGACATGTAATTAAGCATTCCTGGTAGCATCAGCCTTTTGCAACTTATATTTGGGTTATTTGTTACAAAACACTGATGTTCCACAGAATGAAACTGTGCTGTTCAAGTACCTCAGTCTCTTGTAGAGGTGATGCATTACCCACAGTCCACAAAAAAAAAGAGTTAAAGAAAAAAACCCACACCCCCACAGAAATGTTCTGATTTACTCCAAGCACTCTTAATTTGATAAATTACAGAAAAAGTTATAAAAAGAAGACATACATTCCTCAATGGTATACAGTATCAGGTTTTCACAAGAGTGCTTCACTACAACTGCAATACTTATTAGCTGCACTGCTAGAAAATAAAACTACCCTAATGGATATCTGGGGCCAAACAATTGTGTAAAAGACGCCCAAGTATAAAGTTTCAGGCTTAATGGCCTGAACAAATCCTTCTCATTTCAGACAATGCTTGAAAAAAAGCCAAAACCATGTAATGATGCTAATAAAGAACAGAAGAACTGCAGAGGCAGCAATGCATATACTATCCTGGCATAACACACGGAACAAGGGAGCAGGGAAATGTTCTTCGCGTGGTTCTAAACCTTACCTGTGGCTCCCTGGGAAGCCATGACAAGGTAAGTTCAGGTTCAGGTAAAGAGGCACAGCTCCTTCAGTTCTCTTTATGCCTAACCTTGGCATGGTAAACATGGCAGTTTAAATAACACAACAGCAAACCACAATCACAGGAATGGTGTGATTTGCATTGATTCAGCATTCCACGAATGCAAAGCAACTATCAGATACAACAGGGGACTGCCAAAAAAGAATGAAACTCCATCCAAACATTATGGATGCTGTGATGCTAGAACACCTCTCCACCTGCCCTACTACTGCAAGACACTGTTTTTAAAGCCTCTGAATATATGCAATCAAAGTTGAACTAAGAAGAGTGTGCTTTGAAAACCAGATGACAAGCTCATTTGGAGCTTCCACGTCCTTCATTCTCCCACTTCATATTTTATAAAGTTCTGTGTAGTTTTCACAGTTCTGTTGCAAATATGCATTAATGACAAGCATTGCATTATTTAAGCTTCACATCCAACAACTAAAATGGAACTCCAGCTTTCTTCATTGACACCGAGGTTCAACAGAATAGTTACTTCAACAATCCTCTCCCCCTCAAGGTTACTGGACTTATATGAGCATGCCTTGCTCCCCCCAGCCAGCCACACCACTCTTCCAAATCCTTCACAGGGTAATTTTAAAAAGGCCTCATTACCACCAGCTCTGTCTATTTTAGAAGTTACTCAATGCCAGTATCACTGAAAAGCTGTAATTCTGTCCTTTTCTGATGCCTAAATAATGCTTATGCAACTCCAAATACAAAGAGAATTCAATTTAGCCTATATATTCTTCTGCTATAATAACAGGGCACTCCAGTTAGAGACTGTGTACTTTGTCAATATTTTCTGCAGAACTAGTGGACCTTGGAATTGCTGATTAGCATCCAACATTTCACATTCCCTGATTTTGAATAGAAAAAACTCTCCTGAGACTGGGTGACTTCCAAGATACGCCATTAAGAGACATCAGGGCTTAAATACATGCATAACTAAATGAGTAAATAAATAATATAAGCTCCATATCCGTAGCAATTCCATCAGGCTCTCACTCTTGCTGCCTTGAAAAACATCTGCAGAAGAATCTGAGATGGAAGTGTGCAAGCGCCACTGACCCTTTTTCTCACACTTCAGTGAATCCTCGCAGAAAGATTTAGCAGATCATCCTGCCACAGCATCTGGCAGTCCACACATTCTGTCAGCTGCTCCAGGGCCAAAGAGCTGAAATCCAGAAAACCTACCCTTTTCTTTCACTGGAAAACACAAATTGCTCACCCCCATGGAAGAGTTGTGCACATGGTGAGGACCCAGCCTGTCCAGCCCAGTTTTGGAAGTGGCCATAGTTTTGCTGCTCAGAGGTCCAGATAACTGGGATGGTCAGAGAATGAAGTCCCAGAACAGATGAAAACCTGACAAGAAATGGCAGGAAAGATGGCAGGAAATAATCTCACAGAGAGGCTGTTAGAACAATTCTGCCTACATGTTTGATGTGATGCTAGAAAATCCCAGGAGCAGCATGAAACTCTGTCAGTCTTAATAGAGAAATACAACTTTATAATTTATGAAAATTGAATTATTGAAGAGCATGCATACATATTAGCAATCTGCACAGCACACTGAAGTATCCTGAAGACCAAGTAAGGTTCATTTTTACTCCTATTTGATCAAGCACCATGCCTCGCACCTTGGCTATGGCTTTGACCCATTTAAAACAGAAAGTCATTTTACACTATTTATAATATTGTAAACAGCACTTCAGCTCTGCAGTAACAGTCTAGTCCAAATCCAGTTGGCAAATCAGAGCTTGTATATATTTTCTTGCAGATAATTATTCAGGGAAAACCCATCCATCCTTCTATACCAAACTTGAACAATCCTTCAACTGGAGTTTACTGGATGTTGGGCTTAAGAAGTCAAGCTTATAGCTCTTTAGGTAAAGATTCATATTAGCAGCCTGGACCAAGGCACACAGAGACTTAAGCATTTTATTTAGATAGTATTATTTTCAAATTTTAAATACAGCACCACATTCTAATATCCCACCTCCTGTTTTCTTAAAGGAAATACATTAAATGAACATTCACCTTTGTGTCAAAGTATTACTTTTCATACTACCTTTTTAAGACACAAAATCTATTTTACTAAAGCAGTTTCAACATTAAATTCAATTTACAAAAAAATAGCCAGGCTTATTATAATGCTGCATGTCATAACAAAGATAAAAATACATGCAAAAATTTTAGTATTCTCAGTTTTTCATATACTCTATTCCTTAAAAATCATTTAGAGAGAAACCCAAGACCTATCAGGTTTTAAGGATGAAACTTCATGATTACATGAAGCTCCACAATTTACTGCTGAGATGAAGGCTGAAGATTCTTCAAGTCAACATCTTGCTACATTTTACTGTAATTCCACATGGACTAATTTCAATTTAAGTAAAATCTGAAAAGCCTTAATTCAAATAACACATTTCACAGCAAGTACTTTGAACATGCAAATGCTTTCATTTCAGTAAGTCTTTGCATGAAAAAAGAATTAAGAAATGTTTTTAATTAGAATGTCCAAGATGCATGTAGTCCCTGATTTTTAGTTTATTTTTTTTAAAGAAAAAGTCTGACACAGTAAAGCAGCTCTATTGTTTCTGCCTGACAAACAAGGCAATGCTTTTGTTCCTTCCTGACACTGCTTCATAAAGGAACATTTTCCACGACAATAACATTTTTACCAGGACAAAGGTCCAAAATCTTACCTAGCACATCTCTGCAACCCAGCACTAATTCAACCAATGAGCATAGCTGGTCACACAAGCAGACACATCCTACCACTACTTTCATACACTGCTTAAGAAGTGCCACTTGCATTTTCTCTTTTTGCTACTTCATGACAATACACTGCTAACATCAGAACCCAAAAGCCCTATGTGAAATCAGGGACCTTTGCATGAGCAAAGTGAATGCACGCGGTTAGGGAAAATTCCTTAGACAAACAGTTCCATTATAAAAAGATGAGGAATTGGACAAGAAAATGTTCCTCCCATTTAGAACACTGAACCAGAAGCAATGGAAAATTAAAGGAGATATTTTCATCTCGAGTTGTTTCTTCCATATTGTCAATTGCCACTCAACAACAGTGGATGATCAAACCAGACAGAGAGAAAAATACACTAGACCAATCTTCAAGATCACTCAGATCTTTCCAATGCATGCCTGTTGTGAAGAAATCTGTCATATTGCTGTGTCAAGAGAAACAGGTTCTGGGATCTTTTAGAGCATGACTGACTCAAAAGC